TCAGCCTATTAGAGTAGACTCTTCAAGGGTCAGAAGTTTGGATTTACATTATTACAAGGTTGGCCATGACTTTTAATTAATATAAAAGGGACGAACACATTTGACTAAACCCCCCAAAATTCAGTAGTTCGATATAAATAAAGCCTGCATCATATTATCAAATAATATTGCAAAGAGAGAGCTTATAAATCACTTTGAAAACTCAACAATCAAGAGGAAAAGAGCCTAACACTCTCATAATAAAATAAAGACAAACAATAGTTTAATACCATCATTTCTAAATGGAATCTATTCCTGCATGTATCAGGCAGTATTTCCATGTGAGATTCTTTTTGAGGAAAACTAATCTTTAATATCTCTAGAGTTTTGTTTGTTGTCATTTTGCTACAGTTTTTAATTTAATAGATAATATCTTTAGGAAATGTTTTATCATAAATAGAGTTGCGACGTTACGGAGGGCAAAGGAATACATCTCCTCCATGCGTTCCCAGGATCTTGCATAATTTCTGGCCTAGAGTGACTGCATAATCAATATTCATTGCATAAATAAATGTCCTACAATTTTTAATAATTGACAACAATATTTTATGAACAAGATATATTTGGCCATTAATTCTTTCAACTGAAGCAATGCTTACAAAACAAGAATTCATGCATTTTCTTTCTTTAGTCTTACTATAATATTACTCAAAATCTGCTTACCTTATTACAGTTTTCTAAAATAAATGTTACACTTAAAGCTAGCAAACAGTTATTTAGATAATTTGTTTCCTGTTTTGTTTGGTGGTTTGAAGAAGAGGAAAAAATGGCCCATTAAAACTAAATTAAACATGTGCAATTCTGAATCCAATTCTAGACATCAAAATTTAAATTTTAATAGTTTTAAGGAGTATATTTTAGTAATGCTGTGGAAATAAAACAGTTTAAAATGCTAATAAAGTAAATATTTTCAAGATTAAAAATAATGATGGATTCACTCTCACAATCTTTGTATACTTCAGGATGACCCACACATAATGGTATTCTAGATAAAGGTCCAGAGAACATATATGAAATGGACTCGACCCACACCCAAAAGCCAACACCTGAAATATGTTTCCATGGCAGTTATTCTTTTATTTTTCTTTTCTAAGATGCTCTTTGAAAGTAACAAGAGGTCTAGCAGGTAATCAAAGATACACATGTCACCAACAAATAGCCACACTCTAAAACACAACCTAATTTAATCACCTTCCCTCTTCCCCCAAAAAAAGTAAATGAAAAGAAGAAGGAGAAGGAAAAACTTATAACTGCTCTCAGCTCTTTAATATGGGTGATAAATTATTTAAAATATTTTGAATCCAGGATTTTGCCCTTATAATATTTTTTTTGACTTCTAAAAAATCTAGAAGGTCTATCAAAGAATTTCTGCCTGGCATCTGTCCACTTACTTATAACATGTGTTCAGAGGAAAGCACATACAAGCTTCATTTCCTTGAGAAACTTACATATTGAATTGGAAATATACAATGCACAACATTTTCACAAATACATCTATGCATCCTTGCTTCTTACTATTTGTAAATATTACTCAATGGCATCAACAGAATAAATAATTTCTCCTTTTCTTTCCTCCTCATTTTCGCCACAACAGGTTTCCATGACAACCTATATTTGAATTTTTATAAATTTCTATTTTTGAATACTATTCTTAAGAATTTATAAGTATAAAATATAAACTTATTTGCCAAGTTAATTGAGCAATTTAGACCTCTCAAGTAGTATGTATTTACATCATAAATTAAAAGTGTTAGGGAGCCGAGTGCTTAAGTTCGCGCTCCTCTTTGGAGGCCCAGGGTTTCGCCGGTTCAGATCCTGGGCGTGGACATGGCACCGCTCATCAAGCCATGCTGAGGTGGCATCCCACATGCCACAACTAGAAGGACCCACAACTAAAAATACACAACTATGTATCGGGGGGCTTTGGGGAGAAAAAGGAAAAATAAAATCTTTTAAAAAAAAGCGTTAGAGGAGGGGGAAATGCCAACCCAAACAAAAGGCAAAAATACAATGTTGTAAAATTCAATTAATTATTCAATTCCTATCACTGTTGTTTCAGTCTGCCAGTTTAGATCATAAAAGTTAGAAATAAAACACATTTACTATATAATTGAGCCTAAGTCCTCAACATTGGGGAAGGATAAAGAAAATTAGGAAAAAGGTATAACAAATTGAAAAAGGAATTCAGACAGTTAAAATTGTTCATCTCAAATATATCAATAAAAAATGAACTAAGGTTGAAAAAACAGTAAGCTGATTTATAAAAGTTAAATACTTCTATTAAGAATGAGACTTGTGGCAGTAGGATCACAGCTGAAGCAAACCCTTTGGTAACTGATTTATGACTCCTTAGAATCATGTCCATGCAAAATATAATGCCATGCTGCGACCTCCCGATGTAATTCTATTTGTCAACCTAACCAGATAACACTGTCAGGCCATCATCTGAACTAAAAATTTTCACATAAAAATATTAAATCACATTTAAATAGAATAATGGCTTCTGATTGCTCTTTTTTAGGCGGTCCCTAATAATTTGAAAAGGGATTTCCCTAAAGACAAGTTCCACAAATGTTAGCCAATCTGAAAGAAAGCAAAACATCACATATTAACCGGTCAATAAAAATGGAAAGGTCAAACAGGGCTCATTTTAAGAAGTTCATTTGAATCCCATATTTCACCTAATGTTGGGTGGTGCAGGGTAAAAATTCTATCAGCCAAAGTCCTGGAATATATATATTAAAAAAAGTCATCAATGACCTTTCAAAGTTAGAATGCTAGTGAATAGCTAATGCTGCATTAGAGCTTAAGTCAGCACGATCTGCAGAGATTTCACAGGCGAGACAGTCAGTTATAATCAGCGGTTGTGGTGGAAAGGGCCTGGGGAGGACATCATGAGACCTCCAGCATAATTTTGGCTCTGCTGTTAACTTGCTGTATGACCTTGGCCTTCACTTAGTATCTGCAATCTTCATTTTCCTCATCTATAAAATAAAGGGTTTCATGAGGTGACCTCAACGAAATTTTCCAGGTCTATGATCCTCAGCTGATTCTGCTTCTAATGGCTCTCTGACCTTGTGTCAATCTCTAATTTATCTGCTGTCTTTCCTCCCTAAATTGATGCGGGTCAAATCCTTAACATTATTAAATGAAATATTACCAAGATTTTTAAAAACTATTTTCAAGTTAACGGTCTACCTTTTGACCAATAATCAGTAGAACCAATTTCCATGGCAATAAAAAAAAATTGAACACCTTTTGAAAGTTTTTGCTATGCAATCTGGTCTACAATAAAATTTATGTTATCATGAGGAAAGATACTAAGACATTCTGTCTTTTTTATAGCACACGATCTGGAAAAAAAAAAATCACATGGTGAGCCTGAAAACAAATTCAGATTATCTTGTTATCCACCAAGTGGAAAAAGCACTGTGGCACTCAGCTGGAATCCAAAAAACACAGATGCAGTGGTCATGAGTCTGTGATTTAATTTAAATAAATATGCACTTGTTTGTCTGGTTTTCTGAATACCAATTCTTGCTGAACTTATAGAATGGTCTTAAAAGGACGATTTCAGAGTTGGAGTTACTAATTCTACATTCAAATATGAGAATGTGGACATACTGGAATTTATGTATGCATTTAAATACCAGATCCAAAAGAGTAGCAATGCTTTAACTTGTCTCTTTCATTTTCTGTTTCACACCAAAAACAAAACATATCCTCAGACTTCTAAAGTGGCATCAGAAGCACATCTTCTGACAAGTTAGTGGCTAGACAGCTGCACAGTATCCCAGACGCAGAGACTTCTGACATGCAGAAGACAATAATGAGGACAGAGCCAAAAAGAGGCTGGGAGAATCCCCTTTCTGCCCAGGGGGTATCTTTTCTGGGTGTCAGAAACAAACCAGACACATGCAGTTGCAAAGATTTAACTAAATACAGTACTCCATTCTCACATATAATTAAAACCCATTCACATACTGTATAATTTTTGGTTATTTATATTTCTTTTATTTCCTTTAAACTGAAGAAACCTTTATTAGTTACTTTTATAGTCCCTTCATGGAATTTTTGAGAGTTAATTTGGAGTGTCGAGGACTAAATTTAAGCTGTCATTCAAGCCAGACACTGAAAAGAAAAACTGAGGATGGGATCACAATCTAAAGAGTACAACAAAGTTTGCTACAATCTAAATTATTCAGATTTAGAGAACTGAACTAAACTAGGATCACAAAAGCGTCTAATTCACGTTCAATCTGTAATAAACATAGATGCAGCCCTGGGGAAAAGGCGCCAGACCCTAAAACTCAGTGTGCAGGTGGGGTCCCCGGTCAGCACACGGGGCCGTCAGTCCCAGCCCTCCTCCCTAGGAAGGAGACAGGCCCAGACAGCACTGGGAGGATTTTCTTCACAAAGTGAACCTCCTGACACGCTCCCCCCTCCATCCCCAGCCACGTCTATACATTGCATTTCCCCTTCCTCTGTTGGCAGAGACATCCCTAACTGGAGCCACTGCTTTGGGTGACTCGGACGTGAAGCAGTGTCGGGCCTCTCTGAAAATGTCAAAATGGGATGACCAGAAGGCCCAAAGAGACATCCGAGCTAAAGGAAACGTTGGGACAAGAGTCAGGAAAAACCCAAAGCGCGACATGGGCTTCAGGAGAAGGTTGCAGTCAGACTTGCACAGAGAAGTCGACTTCTCCCTTTAGTCCCCATCTGCTACAGGAAATCTCAATTTGAGTTGAGGAGGGGAGGAGGGGGATGAAGGTGGGCGAGGAGGATGGGGGCCAGGGTCCCTGAGTTTACCTGGCGCCACATGGGCCTCTAATCTCATCGTGAGGGAGCCGTGCTCCCTTGTCCACTACCCCATCCCAGAGCCCTTGGTGGAAAAGAACAGAAAGTTGGGGAAGGAGCTGGGAGAAGCTGGGGCAGCCGGGAAGGGGGCGGTTCGGCCTTACCCTGGCGGCTCTGGAAGAGTAGGGGTCCTCGAAGAGGGCCCACACGCGGGGCTGCAGCCTCCTCCAGCGGCCGGACTTGCCGTCGGGACCCCCCAGGCCCGCAGCGTCCTCGATGCCCAACCTCTTGGCCGCCAGGTCCTCGTCGTCGCCAGGGTCCCCGCCGATGAGGTCGGGGGCCTCGAAGATGTCGAGCGCCTCCTCGGCGTCGCGGTGCTGCCGGTAGGTCATCCAGCAGCAGGGCTCCACGTCCGTCTCGTCGATGCCCCAGAAGGCCAGCTCCTCCTCGAAGAGCGGCCCGCACACGTCGGCCGGGCAGTGCAGCTTGCCGGTGCGGTAGTAGTTGAGCACGTAGGCGAAGACGCCCGGGTGCCGGTCGAAGAAGAACTCGCGGCCGCCCCCGGGGTGGTCGCCGCCGCCGCCGCCGCCGCGGGGACCGCAGTGGCCCGCGCCGCCCTCGAAGCAGCCGCCCGGCCCGGGGGACAGCGAGGGCGGCCGCGGCGGCGGCGACAGCGGAGGGGGCGACGGCTGCAGCTTGTCCGCCGCCGTCAGGCAGTCGCCCGGGGGCTCGGAGGCGGCGAGCAGGGCCAGGCGCGTCCCGGGCAGGGTCTTGAGGGTGCTGCGGTAGGTTTCGTGCCGGGTGCCTCCGACATTGAGGATCACCCTCTCGTTGTTCTCGATCTTGCCCATCTCTGTGGCTCAGACATGACTGGAGGAGGCGAACACAGCGCCAAGTTAAACACCTCGGCCGTCAGAGCCGCACCGTGACCCCCACCCCGCTGCCAGCCCAAGAGCCCCGAGGTGCGCGCTTGGCAGACGGGCCAGGGGCGACCGAGCCTCCCTGGAGGAGATCTGCGCCCAGCCGGTCCCCGCCTCCCACATCATACCTCTCCCAGGCTGCCCGAGAAGTCAGGAGACGACAGTCCAAGCCCTCCTTGACCTTCCGCCACACCCTCTGCCTGACTCACACCTTTCCCCTTTCTCCCCCATTTATCTTTTGACCCTTCACCTTCCCTCCCCTCTGTCCTCTCTCAAGTGGCACCCGCTCCCAGCCCCTAACCCCCCCTCCGAAAACCCCCCATCTCTCCCTCCTAACCCTCTTTCTCCCGCCCTTGCCTCTCTCTCTCCTGCGCCCTGGTCTCTCTCTCCCCGTCCCCTGGCCTGGAGGCAGCTCTCCTAGGCTGGGAGCTTTGGCGGGGGCAACTTGGCAGTGTTGGGGGAGAGCCCCATGCACGCGCACCCTCGGTGCACTCTGGACAGCTCGCTGTCCCTGCCACTCGGAGCGCCCTTTGCTCGACCTGTTCTGATTCACCCCGACTCTCCCTCCCGGACCAGGCAAAAAGACCGAACGCAGAAGTCACAGCCAAAAATCTGCCTGCCGTTGCCTTTCACCAAGGAGACCTCTAACTGATCCAATTTCCTTCTCACATTATTGTTGTTATTATTACTTGGGCAAGGGAACGACTAACTAGGATCCATTTTTGAGCACAGAAGTGATCAGTGCATCCCACCCCATCCCCCTTCCCAAGAAAAACAAACGCCTTGGGGGCGGAGGGCGGGGGTTGCTTTCTAGGAGGGCGAGGCCCAGGAAGAAGCCGCTGGAGGCACACCCCCCTGGGGCCGCGGGCTGGAAGTCCTGGCAGCCGCGGCCGCGCTCCCAGTCGCCCAGCCGCCTCTCCCAGGGCTTCGCCTCTCCGTTCGTGCAGCGGACCGGAGCGAGGGGATCCCGCCCGCAGGGTCAGCGCGCCCTTCCCGGCTCGCCGCCCCCTTCCCTCCCGCCCCAGATACCTTAACGAGACCGAGAGAAAAGTGGGTCTGCTGTGCTTTCCGAGTGGACGAGGGTCTCCGAGCAGGTGGGCCGAGCCCTGACGCCCAGCCCAGCCGCCCTTCTCCAGCGGGAAACTACTTGTTGGCGTTTTCCGGGTGCAGAGGGTTGGGCCGCTCCTCTGGGCGCTGGGGTGGCGGCGACATCCCCCGCCGGCCGCCCGCCCGCCGCGCTGCCCGCCTTCATCCCGCGAGCGGCGGGCTCGGCCCGCGCCCCCCTCGGCGCCTGGGGTCCCCATCGCGCGGGGCTGGGCGAACCATGGAGCTCGGGCGGGTCCAGCGGCGCGCCGCGAGCCTCCGGCGCCGCGGATGGGCCGGCGCGGCTCGAGCCGAGGGCCCGAGGTCAGGGGCGCTCACCCACCGCAAGGCGAAGTCACCCTGCTCCGATTTCGACCTGCAGGTTTTGTTTCTCCCCCTCAAAGCAGCCACTGCTGGAGCTGTCCCTTCCGTGCCACTCGCCGTCACCCGCCGTCGCCGAGCACCGAGCTCGGGAAAGGCTGGGAGGGTGAGTGGGTGGGTCCCGGGAAGCGATGTTGTACCAACCAGGTTCTTATATTTTCCTTCCGTGCAGCTCTGTGCCCACCTCCCCTGGAGCTTCTGCCTGCCTTATTTACTCCCCACATCTTTTCTCTTGCCGCTGCTCCACCCCCACCCCCAACAAGTGAGAGAATCTGAGACCAATTGCATTTTTTCCTTAATGACAGCTGATGGGAGAGAGAAGTCGGCTTACAGGTGACAAGTGAGTCTTGTTTCTCGTGTCTTAGACATGGCTCTGGCTTGCTCTTTTCAGTCAAATGTGGGTCTCCAGTCACATCATGGTTATATAAAATAGAACGAATTTTGAAAGTTTATTCCAGGAGCATAAGCCTCTAGCAAATAAAAATTCAGGTTTACCAGCCGCTGCGAAGATGAGACGCAGAGATCCAAAGACCAAAGCAGGCGTCTAATTAGCCAGTTTCTCCGTTTTTCAGATTTTTATTGGGCCTTGTATTTGTTTTCTAGCGCTGCCATAACAAAGCACCACAAAGTGGACTGTTTAAAGAGCAGAAATTTATTATCTCACAGTTCTGGAGACTATGAATTTGACATTAAGATGTCGTTGGGTTGGTTCCTCCGAGGGCTGTGGGGACGGGACCTATTCCAGGCCTCCTGCTCGGCTTGTAGAGGCCCTCTTCTCCCCGGGTCTCTTCACCTGGTTGTCCCTTCGTGCATGCCTGTCTCTGTGTCCAAATTTCCCCTTTAAGTAAGAACACTAGTCATACTGGATTGGGGCCGCCACAATGACTTCATTTTAACTCCACCACCTCTTCAAGGAACCTCGCTCCAAAGAAGGTCACATTCTGGGCTTTGGAAGTTAGGATTCCAACATCTCTCCTGTTTTGGGGGGGGGGGGGGGTCAGGCGAGGCCAGTAGACAAAATTCAACCCATATCAGACCTTACCACCAAATAGAGCATATGTTTCTGTGTCTGTGTGTATATTCCTAGAAAGAAAGAAGGAGAGAGCAGGGGAGAGGCCCTACTCCACAGGTATAGTTTGATAGGGTTGAAGTCCACGAACCAGGTGAAACAGCAGGTGGTATGTAGGAGCAAGACTCTTTCAAAAACAGATAGTGATATTGACACTGTGACTGGCAAAGAGGAAGAGTTGTGAGTTACTGATAGGAAAGTTGCAGCGATACGAGGGACTGCAAGGTGGGCAGTTAAATATAAATAACTCACGAAAGAAAACTCCTATCTGTTGTGACAGTAAATACTTAAAGTGAAGAACTGAAAAGTTTTTGGAAGATCACTGATATTTAGGAAACTAATGCAAGAAAATACGGTATGTATACATTTATAAGAAATTTACTACCAATATGACAGTCAATGTGTAATAACAACCCAAAGAACGCTATATACATCCAGCCGTGTGAAAATATAAATTTGCTTTACTAGCACACACAACAAAGTATAAAGCTTAAACACTGAGGGAGTGGTTCTAGTTTTGCACTGGTATCAATTACTGAGGCATTTCTAAAAATGACAGTGATAGTACGTTTCAATTGCCAGAAAATTTACAAAGAAAAATTATATTCAAATTCTAACAGGCATTCCCCCAATGTCTAGATGGTTCCTTACATGGTTTAGTATAAATTCAATAGGGAGGAAAGGGGACATGGTTTGCTTTAAAATGAGTTAGCAATAGTAAGTGTAGTAGCAGAAGAATTTGTAATAATAGGTAACATTCACTGAGCTCTCACTCTATGCAAAGTGCTTTACATCAATTACTCCTTTTAATTTAAACGGAGGAAATATGCACATTAAATTACAAGACTTCTAGAAAGATAACTCATACAGACAGTAGGAATCCATAATGAAAACCTTTAGTCTGATAATATTAAATTTGTATTATGAGGAAGCTATGGGAGAAACCAAAAGGAAGGGAAAAAATGATATAAAGGACTCCTGGGTGAAAATAAAGACCTAGTGAATCAATTTCAGTCTAAGGTTGCATAAGCTATCTAATAGTAATAGAAATAATCACATTGACAAGAGGATCACCTTTTAGAAGAATTCAGACTTTTCTTGTGATTCATAAAGGATTAAATGTGAAATTAGAGGATATGTCAGATAAATTTGAAAATAAGAATGTGGGAAGGTGAAAGGGTGAGATGTGCATGTCAATGGAGAATTGATAGAGCAATGAATGAAATACAGTCTTTAATTTTCTTCTGGTCAGTATAAGAGGGTAAGATCCTAAGACAAATATCCAGCTTCATTATTTAAGACAGGAGAGAACAGAAAATCCCTCCAGCTAACTAACTCTACTGATCCTGCTGTAAAAGACAGATAAAAGTGAAAAGAAAGCAAATCTTTGAAAGAAGCCAATAAAAAACTGAGGAGGAAAAAACAGTTGTGGTTTCCTTTCTTGGTCTGTGCTGGAGCAAGGATTTAAAAGACTGTGTGGACATTACCCCTTGCAGAGAAGCAGCTGAAATGCTGCTTCCTTTATATCCTTGAGTCAGCATCACAGAAGGCTACAGAAACTGACCACATCACCACCATAAACGTGAATTGATCTCATGAAGCCACGCTGTGACTGTCAGAATGACATACTTGTAAAAGTTTAACATTTGAACAGATTAATTCTTTTAAAGTCCAGCATAAGGATTTTAAAACTATTACTCACCTTCAATAAACAATTTATTCACAAGCAAAATTTCTCTGCAGTAGATTGAAAAATGACCACAATTTCCCATCCCTCGCTATAGATATGCCCCTTTAAAATGTGACATTGCATCTTCCCCCATCAAGTCTGTTTCTCCAGCCCGTGACTCCACATTGGCTGTGTAACTTGCTTTGGCTAATAGAATGAAGTGCAAGTGATTGTGTACAGTTCAAAGCCTTGGCTTCCAGAAGTCCTACATGATTCTGCTCTCTCTCTCTTTCTTGGTGCTATGAGAACAGGGCTTAACTGGCCTGCTTGATGATGAGAAACTTACATACCAGTCTCTCCCTCTCTTTTTCTCAATCTCTCTCACTCTTTCTCTCTCTGTCTCTCTCTCTTTCTCCCTCTGTCTCTTTCACACACACACACACCCCTTTGTTACAAAGAGAAATGGTATTGTGAAACAAGTCAGAGGCATAATAAAGAATTTTAAAGAAATAAAGAAATACTTAAAGGAAATAAAGTGCCCCCAACAGCTAAAACTTCTCGTCTCTGCCCCCAGAGGGTAGCCAGCCAATCCCCAGAAGCAGAACACCTTGCTCTTACGACACGTCCAGAAGAACCATCCAGCCAAGCCCAGCCCAAGAGCACTGACCCACAGAGTCATAAGCTACATAAAAGACTGTATTTAGGCTAAGTTTTGGAGTTGTTTGTTATACAAGCTTATTTATCCTCTAAGTTCTCTTCAGCTGAAGAGTAAAAGCTACGAACCTTCTTACCTGCCCTCTTACTACATAATATCGTGTATTATGAATTCTAAAAGAAAACCAATATATGAAATATATTTCCATCATTTCATAAACTTTGGGGAGGTAGTATTTTACTGTGGTTAATTCCATAGGCCTTGGAGGCAGGTAAAATGAGTTCATCTTCTGAGTGTTGTCACTAGACATCTGACCCGGAGAAAATTGTACAACTCCCGGAGCCTCAGTTTCCTCTTCTATAGAATGGGGATGATGACGCTATGGTTACTATGCAAGTTAAATGACGTAAGATTAACAATACACATAAGAGAGTTTCTGGAACATTTTAGGCATCTACTAATAGTGACTTCTATTGTCAAATGGAGAAAAAGTCTCAGCCCAAAATCACATAGTTAATAATTGGCAGAAGCAGGATCATAACTACTGTCCTCTGATGGCAATTCCAAGTCCTATCTGTTATACCACACTGCCTTCTACAGAGGTCAAAACAAGGTCAAATATTGGATATTCCCTAGAGATGTAATGACACCAAACTCTAGAATCCTTGCAATAAGTCTGCATTCTTCTCAAATTATTTTAACTTAAAAGTATATATATTAACCATATTTTAATGACCTATTTTATGTAATACACTTGTTTTACTGCTCAACAAAGTTACTTTGGACAATTATGACAAGATAGATCTACAGATGCAGAATTCATGGATTACTAATTTTACAAGTTGGTCGTTTGATTTGTAAGAAATACATATTTGCATTGGTTGTCAAGAGCCAGAGGCCCTGCATAAATACCCAGCATAACAATATAGACATTTAGGCAATTTGAGCTTACTGAAGATTAATGTGCAAGAGTGCTGAGAGAAGGCATTTTAGATTGAAGGAAGAGAAAAATGTTCCATGAATATAGGATGATGTTGACTGATGAGCATTAAAAGCAAGAGTTGAAAATAGCCTCCTCATTATGAAAAATTCTGGGTCATTGTCCTCTGCACCAGGCATTCATTTAAATAGGTGATGATGATAGACAGAGAGAGGGAGAGAGAGAGAAAGAGATGAGATGAGAGAGAGAGAACTTTAGTAAATGGAGCCGCCCGTTATTCACGCCACACTACTTGAATGAGGTCACTATAACTTACAAAGAGGGCATCATGCAGTAGTTTTTCCAGGGGGACTGCCCTACCACTAAGGCTTAAATTATTGGCAGATATCAATAAAGTGCACTTTACTTTTTATTGTTCTTGTTCCTCAACTGGTCATGTATGCTAGATAAGACATTTCGTTAAAATTTTATAAACTGTATTTTTAGTACTTTCCTGCATTCTACTGCTAATTATTTCATATGTGTATGACTTACTCTGCCTCATTATATACGTTTATAGATTCCCTCTCTTCACATTTTCCTTATAATCTCTCAGCCATAGTAGAGTTCTATGCTTTGAAGTGCATCAGACTCCCCTGAGAAGCTTCTTAAAAATGTAAAAAGCTCAACCCTGAGATTCTGATTCAGTTGGTTTGGTCCATACCATCTTCTGCAGTTGGAAATGTGTGTTTTTAAAAAGCATCCTATGCTTAATGAAACATCCACAGGAAGCTGTACTGAAGTGAATGTTTATAGAACTACGACAAGAAATTAGCTGAACATTGCTTCTGCAGACTA